CTCTCTCTCTCTCTCTCTCTCTCTCTCTCTCTCTCTCTCTCTCTCTTTTCCCCTGCTTGTCCTCCTCCCCTTCCTCTTCTTTTAGGGTCTCAGGTAGCCCAGGCTGGCCTCAAACACTTATGTAGCTGAGGATGGCCTTGAACCCCACACTCCTGCTTCCACTCTCTGAAAGCTCTGCTTACAGCCTGCACCACCACACTCGGCTTCTGTGGAGCCAGGACGGGAACCAGTGCTTCAAGCACCCTAGACAGGTGCTGGATCAACTGAGCTACCTACCTCCTAATCCTTATTATGTTTTCTTCCTGTTCTGGTGTAAAAATACTTATTTTTAACTCACTTGTACTTTGTGGAGCAAAATGTAGGCCGGAGAGCTATATTTGTTCCATTAAGTTAATAATCAACCTTCAGAGTTTGTTTTAAGTCTATGCCAAGCCAGGTTCCCATATATTCATTCTGTCCATGCCTTCCATTGCTAAACATTTACCACACTGCATGAACTGAACCCAGGGCAATGTGATGACCTCAGAGCCGTGTCCTGTTTGATCTTCATGTTTGGGCAGTGTGTAAAGACAGGCATCCACTCCTGTAGTCTTAGATGCCATGAGTGTTCTCACTTCAGCCCTGGCAGCTGCTCATCCTTTCTTTGTCTCTGACTCTCTGGGTTGACTCTTCCGAGTGCCATGCGATGGTGATCATAGCGGGTGGCAGCTTTGCAGACTGGTGTCTCTCGCTCAGCAGTTTGCATTGGGGTTTCCTGAGTGTCTCTTCACAACTCCCTAGCGCATGTCGTCTCGATTCTGGCTTAGGTTCCATTATCTGAACCCCGTCACCACAGGTTGGTGTTTCTCCATCCACTCACTAATGGTGTCATGACTGCTTCCAGTTTTGAACAGTTCGAAATAATGCTGCTGTCAACATTCGTGTGCGGACATGAATTTTCTGCCCACTTGAAGAAATGCCTATGAGAGTGTGTCCTAGTTAGGGCTACCATTGCTGTGATGGAACACGGTGACCCATAGCAACTTGGAGAAGAAAGGGTTTGTTTGGCTTACGTTTCGTCATCTCTGTTCATTGTCTAAGGAGGTTAGGAACTCAAACAGGGCAGGAACCTTGGAGGCAGGAACTGATGCAGAGTCCAGGGAGGGGTGCTGCTTACTGACTTGCTCCTCATTGCTTGCTCATCCTGATTTCTTATAGAACTCAGGACTTCTTGCCCAGGGGTGCCTCCACCCACAATGGGCTGGGCCCTCTCCCATCAATAACTAATTAAAAAAAATGCCTCACAGTCTTGCCTATAGCCCGATCTTATGGAATCATTTTCTCAACTAAGGATCCTCCTTCTTTCATACTCAAGACTTGTGTCAAGTTGACCTAAAGCTAGCCAGTGCAGAGTGGTTTCTGAAACTGGTGATTAAAAGGAGCTTGGCATTAGAACAAGAATGCTGAAGGCTGGGAAGGTGGCTCACTGGTTAAGACCGCTTGCTGCTTTTGCAGAGAACCTGAGTTCTCTTTCTAGCGTCCAAGCGGTCTTAACCAGTGAGCCACAACCTCTTACAACTATAGCCCCAGGGGAACCCGACGCCGCCTTCTGGCCCCAATGGGCACTGCAGGTTGATGGTTTAGATCTTTAGTTCACGTTTTTATTGTGTTTCCCCCCTCTGACTGAGTTTTGAGAGTCAGTTGTTCTTTCTCAGGTCTTCCAGTTTATGGAGTTGCATTTTATTTTCTCGATGGAGTTCTTTGAAAGTAGAAATATTAAACCGAATGAAGTAGTACTTAATTCTCCTTTTCGTGAGCCCTCCTCTGCAATGCTTGGAAAGTTATTGATGAATGCAAGGCTGTCCACATTTCTCTTTTATCTTTGAGAGGTTTATAACCTCAGGTCTGTGATCTATTTGGACTTGATTTTTATAAATGCTGTGCAATGCTTGAGTCAACATGGACTGCTGTGACATATTCACACACTGACCCCTGAGGGTTCACGTGTCGACAGGCTAGCAAGGAGAAGGGAAACAGACATGGGTTGGGGCCTGAAAGGCATATGTGTGAGGTTAGCTAAGACAGAGAGAAGCCGCTGCTCTGTGAGAGGTCTGGGTGTTTAGTGACCAACAGCGTTTCTGGGTCACAGCAACATGCTGTATGTGGGGAGATTCATGAGACTACCACACATTTGACCTTTCTGTACTTCTGAGTGTGTGAAGTCTGCACTGCAGACTTTCCCTAAACCGTGCATATGTGGTAAATAGACAATCTAAGGAAAAATACCAGCAAGTACCTCAGGGTTTACAGATACGAGTGGCAGGAAGTGCTGAATTTAGTAGCCATTGACACTGAGTTCTCCATTCCATCTGTCCCTCTCCTTGGCCTTTCCCATAGGTACCCCCTCCCAACCCAGTCACCCTGTGCTGTCACTAGAGACTGGCATCAAACAAGGCTTCTTTTGCCCCTCTGTGGC